GATAAAAGCCTAAAACAGATCCTCAACAACAGTTTGCTTACGCTTGCCTTTCCCTTGGCTGTTGCTTGCTTTCGCTTGCCTTTCCCTTGGCTGTTGCTTGCTTTCGCTTGCCTTTCCCTTGGCTATTGCTTGCGTTCGCTTGCCTTTCCCTTGGCTGTTGCTTGCTTTCGCTTTCCCTTCCCTTGGCTGTTGCTTGCTTTCACTTGCCCTTCCCTTGGCTGTTGCTTTCTTTCGCTTGCCGTTCCCTTGGCTGTTGCTTGCTTTCGCTTGCCTTTCCCCTGGCTGTTGCTTTCTTTTGCTTGCCTTTCCTTTGGCTGTTTGGTGCTTTAGCTTGCCTTTCCCTTGGCTGTTTCTTGATTTCGCTTGCCTTTCCCTTGGCTGTTGCTTTCTTTCGCTTGCCTTTCCCTTGGCTGTTGCTTGCTTTCGCTTGCCTTCCCTTGGCTGTTGTTTGACTTCGCTTGCCTTTTCCTTGGCTGTTGCTTGCTTTCGCTTGCCTTTCCCTTGGCTGTTGCTTGCTTTCGCTTGCCTTTCCCTTGGTTGTTGCTTGCTTTCGATTGCCTTTCCCTTGGCTGTTGCTTGCTTTCGCTTGCCTTTCCCTTGGCTGTTGCTTGCTTTGCTTGCCTTTCCCTTGGCTGTTTCTTGCTTTCGCTTACCTTTCCCTTGGCTGTTGCTTGCTTTCGCTTGCCTTTCCCTTGGCTGTTGCTTGCTTTCGCTTGCCTTTCCTTTGGCTGTTGCTTGCTTTCGCTCGCCCTTCCCTTGGCTAGTGCTTGCTTTCGCTTGCCTTTCCCTTGGCTGTTGCTTGCTTTCGCTTGCCTTCCTCTTGGCTGTTGCTTGCTTTCGCTCGCCTTTCCCTTGGCTGTTGTTTGATTTCGCTTGCCTTTTTCTTGGCTGTTGCTTGCTTTCGCTTGCCTTTCCCTTGGCTCTTGCTTGCTTTCGCTTGCCTTTCCCTTGGCTGTTGCTTGCTTTCGCTTACCTTTCCCTTGGTTGTTGCTTGCTTTCGATTGCCTTTCCCTTGGCTGTTGCTTGCTTTCGCTTGCCTTTCCCTTGGCTGTTGCTTGCTTTTGCTTGCCTTTCCCTTGGCTGTTTCTTGTTTTCGCTTGCCTTTCCCTTGGCTGTTGCTTGCTTTCGCTTGCCTTTCCCTTGGCTGTTGCTTGCTTTCGCTTGCCTTTCCCTTGGCTGTTGCTTGCTTTCGCTTGCCCTTCCCTTGGCTAGTGCTTGCTTTCGCTTGCCTTTCCCTTGGCTGTTGCTTGCTTTTGCTTGCCTTTCTCTTGGCTGTTGCTTGCTTTCGCTTGCCTTTCCCTTGGCTGTTGCTTGCTTTTGCTTGCATTTCCCTTGGCTGTTGCTTTCTTTTGCTTGCCTTTCCCGTGCCTCTTGCTTGCTTTCCCTTGCCTTTCCCTTGGCTGTTGCTTGCTTTCGCTTGCCTTTCCCTTGGCTGTTGCTTGCTTTCGCTTGCCTTTCCCTTGGCTGTTGTTTGATTTCGCTTGCCTTTTCCTTGGCTGTTGCTTGCTTTCGCTTGCCTTTCCCTTGGCTGTTGCTTGCTTTCGCTTGCCTTTCCCTTGGTTGTTGCTTGCTTTCGCTTGCCTTTCCCTTGGCTGTTGCTTGCTTTCGCTTGCCTTTCCCTTGGCTGTTGCTTGCTTTGCTTGCCTTTCCCTTGGCTGTTTCTTGCTTTCGCTTGCCTTTCCCTTGGCTGTTGCTTGCTTTCGCTTGCCTTTCCCTTGGCTGTTGCTTGCTTTCGCTTGCCTTTCCTTGGCTGTTGCTTGCTTTCGCTCGCCTTTCCCTTGGCTAGTGCTTGCTTTCGCTTGCCTTTCCCTTGGCTGTTGCTTGCTTTCGCTTGCCTTCCTCTTGGCTGTTGCTTGCTTTCGCTTGCCTTTCCCTTGGCTGTTGTTTGATTTCGCTTGCCTTTTCTTGGCTGTTGCTTGCTTTCGCTTGCCTTTCCTTGGCTCTTGCTTGCTTTCGCTTGCCTTTCCCTTGGCTGTTGCTTGCTTTCGCTTACCTTTCCCTTGGTGTTGCTTGCTTTCGTTGCCTTTCCCTTGGCTGTTGCTTGCTTTCGCTTGCCTTTCCCTTGGCTGTTGCTTGCTTTCGCTTGCCTTTCCCTTGGCTGTTGCTTGTTTTCGCTTGCCTTTCCCTTGGCTGTTTGCTTGTTTTCGCTTGCCTTTCCCTTGGCTGTTGCTTGCTTTCGCTTGCCTTTCCCTTGGCTGTTGCTTGCTTTCGCTTGCCTTTCCCTTGGCTGTTGCTTGCTTTCGCTTGCCCTTCCCCTTGGCTAGTGCTTGCTTTCGCTTGCCTTTCCCTTGGCTGTTGCTTGCTTTTGCTTGCCTTTCTCTTGGCTGTTGCTTGCTTTCGCTTGCCTTTCCCTTGGCTGTTGCTTGCTTTTGCTTGCATTTCCCTTGGCTGTTGCTTTCTTTTGCTTGCCTTTCCCGTGCTCTTGCTTGCTTTCCCTTGCCTTTCCCTTGGCTGTTGCTTGCTTTCGCTTGCCTTTCCCTTGGCTGTTGCTTGCTTTCGCTTGCCTTTCCCTTGGCTGTTGCTTGCTTTCGCTTGCCTTTCCCTTGGCTCTTGCTTGCTTTCGCTTGCCTTTCCCTTGGCTGTTGCTTGCTTTCGCTTGCCTTTCCCTTGGCTATTGCTTGCTTCGCTTGCCTTTCCCTTGGGCTGTTGCTTGCTTTCGCTTTTCCCTTCCCTTGGCTGTTGCTTGCTTTCACTTGCCCTTCCCTTGGCTGTTGCTTTCTTTCGCTTGCCTTTCCCTTGGCTGTTGCTTGCTTTCGCTTGCCTTTCCCCTGGCTGTTGCTTTCTTTTGCTTGCCTTTCCTTTGGCTGTTTGGTGCTTTAGCTTGCCTTTCCCTTGGCTGTTTCTTGATTTCGCTTGCCTTTCCCTTGGCTGTTGCTTGCTTTCGCTTACCTTTCCCTTGGTTGTTGCTTGCTTTCGATTGCCTTTCCCTTGGCTGTTGCTTGCTTTCGCTTGCCTTTCCCTTGGCTGTTGCTTGCTTTTGCTTGCCTTTCCCTTGGCTGTTTCTTGTTTTCGCTTGCCTTTCCCTTGGCTGTTGCTTGCTTTCGCTTGCCTTTCCCTTGGCTGTTGCTTGCTTTCGCTTGCCTTTCCCTTGGCTGTTGCTTGCTTTCGCTTGCCCTTCCCTTGGCTAGTGCTTGCTTTCGCTTGCCTTTCCCTTGGCTGTTGCTTGCTTTTGCTTGCCTTTCTCTTGGCTGTTGCTTGCTTTCGCTTGCCTTTCCCTTGGCTGTTGCTTGCTTTTGCTTGCATTTCCCTTGGCTGTTGCTTTCTTTTGCTTGCCTTTCCCGTGCCTCTTGCTTGCTTTCCCTTGCCTTTCCCTTGGCTGTTGCTTGCTTTCGCTTGCCTTTCCCTTGGCTGTTGCTTGCTTTCGCTTGCCTTTCCCTTGGCTGTTGCTTGCTTTCGCTTGCCTTTCCCTTGGCTGTTGCTTGCTTTCGCTTGCCTTTCCCTTGGCTGTTGCTTGCTTTCGCTTGCCTTTCCCTTGGCTATTGCTTGCGTTCGCTTGCCTTTCCCTTGGCTGTTGCTTGCTTTCGCTTTCCCTTCCCTTGGCTGTTGCTTGCTTTCACTTGCCCTTCCCTTGGCTGTTGCTTTCTTTCGCTTGCCTTTCCCTTGGCTGTTGCTTGCTTTCGCTTGCCTTTCCCCTGGCTGTTGCTTTCTTTTGCTTGCCTTTCCTTTGGCTGTTTGGTGCTTTAGCTTGCCTTTCCCTTGGCTGTTTCTTGATTTCGCTTGCCTTTCCCTTGGCTGTTGCTTTCTTTCGCTTGCCTTTCCCTTGGCTGTTGCTTGCTTTCGCTTGCCTTTCCCTTGGCTGTTGTTTGATTTCGCTTGCCTTTTCCTTGGCTGTTGCTTGCTTTCGCTTGCCTTTCCCTTGGCTGTTGCTTGCTTTCGCTTGCCTTTCCCTTGGTTGTTGCTTGCTTTCGATTGCCTTTCCCTTGGCTGTTGCTTGCTTTCGCTTGCCTTTCCCTTGGCTGTTGCTTGCTTTGCTTGCCTTTCCCTTGGCTGTTTCTTGCTTTCGCTTACCTTTCCCTTGGCTGTTGCTTGCTTTCCCTTGCCTTTCCCTTGGCTGTTGCTTGCTTTCGCTTGCCTTTCCTTTGGCTGTTGCTTGCTTTCGCTCGCCCTTCCCTTGGCTAGTGCTTGCTTTCGCTTGCCTTTCCCTTGGCTGTTGCTTGCTTTCGCTTGCCTTTCTCTTGGCTGTTGCTTGCTTTCGCTCGCCTTTCCCTTGGCTGTTGTTTGATTTCGCTTGCCTTTTTCTTGGCTGTTGCTTGCTTTCGCTTGCCTTTCCCTTGGCTCTTGCTTGCTTTCGCTTGCCTTTCCCTTGGCTGTTGCTTGCTTTCGCTTACCTTTCCCTTGGTTGTTGGTTGCTTTCGATTGCCTTTCCCTTGGCTGTTGCTTGCTTTCGCTTGCCTTTCCCTTGGCTGTTGCTTGCTTTCGCTTGCCCTTCCCTTGGCTAGTGCTTGCTTTCGCTTGCCTTTCCCTTGGCTGTTGCTTGCTTTTGCTTGCCTTTCTCTTGGCTGTTGCTTGCTTTCGCTTGCCTTTCCCTTGGCTGTTGCTTGCTTTTGCTTGCATTTCCCTTGGCTGTTGCTTTCTTTTGCTTGCCTTTCCCGTGCCTCTTGCTTGCTTTCCCTTGCCTTTCCCTTCGCTGTTGCTTGCTTTCGCTTGCCTTTCCCTTGGCTGTTGCTTGCTTTCGCTTGCCTTTCCCTTGGCTGTTGCTTGCTTTCGCTTGCCTTTCCCTTGGCTGTTGCTTGCTTTCGCTTGCCTTTCCCTTGGCTGTTGCTTGCTTTCGCTTGCCTTGCCCTTGGCTGTTGCCTGCTTTTGCTTGCCTTTCCCTTGGCTGTTGCTTGCTTTGGCTTGCCTTATTCTAGGCTGTTGCTTGATTTCGCTTGCCTTTCCCTTGGCTGTTGCTTTCTTTCGCTTGCCTTTCCCTTGGCTGTTGTTTGCTTTCGCTTGCCTTTCCCTTGGCTGTTGCTTGCTTTTGCTTCCCTTTTCCGTGTTCTCACTCCCTCAGTTCTTACTCCCTCTGTTCTTACTCCCCCTGTTCTTCCGCCCTCCGCTCTTCCTCCCTCTGTTTTTCCTCCCTCTGTTCTTCCTCCCTCTGTTCTTCCTCCCTCTGTTCTTACTCCCTCTGTTCTTACTCCCTCTGTTCTTACTCCCTCTGTTCGTCCTCCCTTTGTTCTTCCTCCCTCCTCTCTTTCTCCCTCTGTTCTTCCTCCCTCTGTTCTTCCTCCCGCTGTTCTTACTCCCTCTGTTGTTACTTCCTCTGTTCTTACTCCCTCTGTTCTTACTCCCTCTGTTCTTACTCCCTATGTTCTTACTCCCCCTGTTTTTACTCCCCCTGTTTTCACTCCCTCTGTTCTTACTCCATCTGTTCTTCCTCCCTCTGTTCTTACTCCCTCTGTTCTTACTCCCCCTGTTTTTACTCCCCCTGTTTTCACTCCCTCTGATCTTACTCCATCTGTTCTTCCTCTCTCTGTTCTTCCTCCCTCTGTTGTGACTCCCTCTGTTCTTCCTCCCTCTGTACTTACTCCCCCTGTTCTTACTCCCTCTGTTCTTACTCCCTCTGTTCTACCTCCTTCTTTTCTTACTACCTCTGTTCTTACTCCCTCTGTTCTTACTCCCTCCGTTCTTCCTCTGTCCGCTCTTCCTCCCTCCGCTCTTCCTCCCTCCGCTCTTCCTCCCTTCGCTCTTCCTCCCTCCGTTCTTCCTCTCGCCAATATGAACTCATGCTTCTCTTTCTGCTCGTACCCCTTGGTGCAGACCATGACTGAAGAAATCTGCTTTCTGCTCTACAAAATATATAGGGGTGTGTGGACGATGGGGTGGAAAGGAACAGGGAAAAGGGGGGCTGGGGGGGAGAGTGGGGGGAGGGAGGGAGGAGTGGGATGGTTTGGAACAGGGGGTTTGAGAGGTGTGCTGGTTGATATGTAGTTCCACATGTCTAGCTTTTGGTTGTGCCTGTTCTTAATCTCCGTGTGCATAATAAGTGGCTGTATATTTAATGTGCCGTGGATTGTGTCTGCTTGGGGGGTGCTGCTTACGTGCTAGGTGTTGCAGTTAGAGGTTGTCATCGTGCCGGGGGCAGCTGCGCTGTCATCTTGCACCCCATCAATCCCTGCTGCAGCATTGATGCACGTATGCACTCGTTTCGTGGCACTCCCAATCCTATCGGGCATGCTGGTTCATTCCATCAGCTTTACTTGGTATCGAGATAATGTGGATGCAGGCCCTAAATTAGCCGGGTGAAATGCCCTGATTAAGACAAGTCTCCTCAAGGAGTCTGCAGAGCAGTCGTCATAGCATTATAGGTCTCAATACATACAGCACACTAGATTGCATTGCAAGATACATAACGTAGGCTACGGCATAAATTGGTAGCCGAGCCGAGGCTAATAAAATAGAAATTAATGCTAATAAGAGGTTCGGGAGGGAGGGAGGGGTTCTAGATTGAGATCTAGAAATGAATGGACTAGGTGGCCGGTCTGTGGACCGACCACAAGATAAGGAGCGAATGACTCCTTACTCTCAGAGTAGAAAGATTAACTAGAATGAGGCATACAAGTTGATTTTGAGCAAGTGTTGAACCTGTCACCTTATACATTTGTTGTTCTGTAGAAGTTTTACGTTAAATAGGTGTATGTTCTTAGAGGGTACAACCCCAACACTATATCTCCCTTGTTCTCCCTTGTTTCAAACATTCTAGTATTCCAACCTGGTATCATGAGTAGGTTAGGTCCCTCCGACCCGCTTCCGCCTCGCGCCCTAGCCTATCGCGCCTAGCCGGCCCCCTACGTGCCCAACCGACCCCTCTCCCGCCGTAGCTGGCCCCTCACGCCGTAGCCGGCCCCTCGCACCGTAGCCGGCCCCTCGCACCTAGCCGGCCCTTCTCGCACCGTAGCCGGCCCCTCGCGCCCAGCCAGCCCCTCTCGCGCCGTAGCCAGCCCCTCGCGCCTAGCGGCCCCTCCGTGCCTAGTCGGCCCCTTCGCGCCCACCTGATGCTGCTGTAGCTTGCGCAGGAGGATGTACCGCAGCTGGATGTGCTTCACTCTGCCCTCCAGTCGAGGCTCCTGACACAGGAGGATCATGGCCTTGTTGTCAGCGTATAGAACCAGGGCAGAGCTAGGCCGCTCACCTAAGTCTGTTAGCAAGAAAGTCAGCCAGCGGAGCTCCTGTGCCGCCATGGCACCAGCGTAGATCTCAGCCTCACAGCTGGACTAAGCAACTAACGACGAACGGTACGACCTCTAAAAGACAACGCCTGCACCAAGGCTAAAGCAGTAGCCCTGAGAGGACCTGAGGGTCTCAGCGTCGTCTGCTTAAGAAGCGTCAGTGTGCCTTGTAAGGACCACTGGCATGCGTCCTCCCAGTACTAGCCCCATGCCCGATGTACTTGCTAGATAACGCAAAACTCTCTTAGCGGCCGACCAGTGCTGTGGTCGGTGTCTGCCAGTAGCCACAAAGCAAGCCACCATGCTGAGAGGGTATGCGAGATCTGGACGAGTGCAAGTCATCAGGTACATGAGGCAATCCACCAGCTCTGCTTAAAGACCACTGGGCTCTACTGACTCCTGAGGAACATGAGTGGAAAGCCTATGGTCTGCTGGCAGAGGAATAGGCTGTGGTAAGGAGAACTGAAGACCGAACCTCTGAAGGACTTGGCACACCAAGTGTGACTGTGTGAGAGTGATGGTGCGCGCTGCTCTGTCCCTGGAGATCTGCAGGCCAAGGTAGCGGCGCAGCTTTCCTAGGTCAGTGCAAGTATGTCTCCTCAGCAGCTCAGCCTTCACGGAGGCCACCCAGAGTCCCGAGGTTGCCTCAGCGTAAGTGCGAGGGGTCGCGATGTCAAAGGCGTCAAGGTCACCCTCAGGGACTAGCAGCATGGAACAGAGATGGGGAGCAGCATCGGACAGGAAAGCTAGCTCGTATTGTTTGTCCTCTTAGACGTCATTGCCAAGGGCAGGAGCACCCCCGATAGACGGGAGGGCAGGAAGGGCCAGAGACCAGAGCTGTGGCATAGTCAAGGCAGCGGGTAGAGGCACCATGGCTACCTCTAGGACACTCCACTTCAGCACCCCCAGAGCAAGCACCCCCAGAGCGAGCACCCTCGAGCCTTTCTGGACAAGCTACGACAGGATCCCCAGGACTAGCACCCTCCTCAACGCCAGCACCCCAAGGGTCCATACACGATGGCTGCTGCTGCGATGTCGGCGGCGGCGACTGCTGCTGCTGCGGCTGCGACGACGGCGGCGGCGACGACGACTGCGATGGTGGAGGAGGAGACACCGGGGGAGAGGCAGGCGGCGAGAACGGTGCCGCGGGGCCACCGGCGTCAGACGACTCCTCGACCGGGACAAGCGGCGGGAGGAGAGTGACGTGAGACACTCCAGAAGGAGCAGGACGGGAAGGGTGGGGAGCACGGGCTACCGGGGGAGTGCAAACCAGGAACAGGGGAGGAGAAACCGGGAGACCTCAATGGGGAAAGCGATGGTAAAAGGAGACAGATTCCTCAAAAGTGGCGTCACGCGAGTGAAGGAAGCGGTGAGACGGCGGGTAGTAAAAGTGTCAATCAGACGAGTCCAGGGAGAAACCGAGGAAGACACAGGGGACAGTGCGGGCAGTGAGCCTGTCCGTGCTAGAGGCACGAACGTGAGCAAGGCAACCCCAGACGTGGAATGAAGACACGTCACCAGGAGACCCGGTCCAGATGAGGGTCGGTGAAACTTGCGGCCGCTGGCAGCGGGGCAACAGGTTCAGCTGGTGAGCGCCGTAGCAAACAGTGAACGCTTACAGAAAATGGGGTGCATTGGCATGGATCATGGAGGTACGAGCCACCTCCATGACCAAGCCGATGCGTCGCTCAGTGACCCCATTCTGCTGTGGGGAGTCCGGCAGGGTGTACGACTGGGTGATGCCCTCCGCACGACAGAACTGGCCAAGCCGACCGGAGGCAAACTCGCCACCACGTTCGGAGTGGGGACACAGCACAGGGAGACCGAGGCCGACTCGCGCAGCTACGACCCACGGGATCAGAACGTCAAGCACGTTGGCCTTTTGCTCCTGAAGAAACACCGCGGTGTAGCGCGTCTAGTCGTCAACAAGCACTAGGAAGTAGTGCTCTCGACGCGGCCCAGGGAGGGGGGCTAGACCCTAGACGTCTAGGTGCAGGGTCTGGAGTGGCGCGGTGGCAAGGGGAAATGAGGAGAAGTGAGGAGCACGGCACAGCCGGCCCTCGACGCAGGGCGTGCACCGCGGTACAGGTGAGGGAGGTAGGGAAGGGAGCAACGCAGGAAGACCTAGGACAAGACCGTTCCGGAACATGTGACGTAGACGCGGGAGAGCAGGGTGACCTAGGCGGTGGTGCCACAAAAGCGATGGGTGAGTGAGCGACCGACATGAGCGCACGGCTGATAGCAAGCTGGTCGACAGCGTCGCGTGAGTCCCAGACGGCACGCTCAAGCGCGGCAGCAGAAAAGGCCTCACACTCAGCGGAGGTAGGGGCAGTAGGGAGGGCAGCAGGGGCAGGGGGGCGGGGAAGCAGACCATCAACATGAACAGCTAGGGAGTGACCGTTCTGGCGCTGACCTGTAAGGTGGTGCCGGAGGTCGACGAGCCACACCTCAAAGTCGAGCGCCAGACCCTCTGCGTCCAGACGGAGCTGCGACTCCGCCATCACGACTGCTGCACCTGCCGACGGCCGCTGACAGTGTGAGAAGGGCTTGAGGAGGATGCGGTGGAGGGTGTGGGGTGCAGTATAGTGCGGTGGAGTGTGGTGGAGTGCGGTGGAGTGCCGTGGAGTTCAGTGAAGGGCGGTGGAGAGCGGTGGAGAGCGGTGGAGACAGCCGTCACGGAGGCCGGCGCGGAAGGGATCCAGCATCGATGGGTCGGCGCTGGGGCTCAACGGGCCGGCGGGCGGCCGAGGAAGCGGGGGCCGGCGGCTGGGTAGCTTGCGGGCCCACGGGGCGCACGGGCCCGACGGGGCGCACTGGGCCAGAGGGACGCAAGAGGGCTGGTGAGGCGCGAATGGGCTGGCGGGGCGCACGGGGCCGATGGGGTGCTAACGGGGCCGAGAGGGGGCACAGGGCCGACAGGGCCGACGAGGCCGACGGGGCGCTAACGGGGCCGCAAGGGCGCACGGGGCCGACGGGGCGCTAGCAAGGGCGTGAGGGCGCACCGGGCTGGCGGGGCGCTAACGGGCCTACGGGGCTGACAGGGCCGACGGGGCGCTAAGGGGCAGCTAGGGCTAGGACGAGAGCGGAAGCGTGGGTGGGTGGGGAGGACCTAACCTAGCGCGTGATACCATCTCAGAGTAGAAAGATTAACTAGAATGAGGCATACCGGTTCATTTTGAGCAAGTATTGTACCCTCTAAGAGCATGCACCTATCTAGCCTATTATAACATACACAAATATGTTTCACACTTAGTGCATACCCCTTTATACGACTTGTCATAATCTTCAAATTTTGAAATGTAATTCAAATTTTATCATATTAAGACAAGTCTCCTCAATGAGTCTGCAAAGCAGTCGTCATAGGTATCACAAGACATGCGGGTGGGAATAAATAGGTACTATCTGGAATATACCACATAGCAAGGGAGCGTGTGAATAGATGTACGGATGATAGACATGCTAGATCCGTATGAGAGCAGATAGAACAATGCGCTCTCTATGCAGAAATGCAACGAGCGTGCGTTGAGCTTGGGATAAAGCACGTATCCAACCCACGCAGCAAATGCGTTGTCAATCCCGTGATGCAGTTGGTAAGAAAGGGGGGTAGGTTTGCAAGACACCAGAGAAAATAATAGCGCGTATGCAATGTACTGTGTTCTAGGCATGCGCCAATGAGGATTTAGTCCGCCATGCACTGATTGGGCAGTCAGGTGAGCAGTGGCTCTACACAATTGTGATATTGAGAAGGCTTGCTTTCTTGTCCTTTGCAGGTGGACTGAGCTTGAGAGACGTAGGTGGAGGGAAATGAGCTCCAACCCACGTATTTGTAGTGAGAGAAGGGGGAATAGCGTGCTTTGACAATGCCCGGATAGAAACCGCACCATCCATGCTACGAGCCGGATCAATTGCATATAGTGCAAGTGGGCTTTCTCATGCGTTTGCCAAATTAAGCACCCATAAGGACCATGCCAACATGCTAGCCTTTGGCGACCACAGTATCGGACTGACTCCATCATGGGCTAATGCCCTCGAGTCCACATCACTCGTTGCACTGCGGTGCGGTTTGAATCCAACGCACAAGCGCGTATGCATGAATATCAGTCTTAGAATAAACAATGATGGGTCTGGTCTCCATATCCAACATAACATCAATATCGATTTGGTGCATCATTGTCGCACAATGAGAGCCTGATTTAGTGCTCACATGCGCACATGCGCCAACGTGATACCCACTCCAAAACGAGTGCCGCGTGAAATTGATACGACTCTTTGCCGGCTGGCCCCCTAACGCACGTCACCCTCAAGCGGAAAACCATCGCATCAGCGAGAGATGGCCCAACGGCCCCGTGCTGTTTTCGCACCTATGTGAGACTCGCTGTCCAGTGGATGCATATGTAATGCTTCAATATGCATATTTAACGAATTTCTTTGTTTTTGTGTTGGTTTTTAGTTTTTTTTTTTTTTTTTCCTCTCTCTCTCTCTCTCTCTCTCTCTCTCTCTCTCTCTCTCTCTCTCTCTCTCTCTCTCTCTCTTTTCCAACAACACGCACTGGTCGCGTTTGTTCGTGTAGCACACAAATATGGCACTTTTGGGCGGCAGATTTTGGGAAAGTCTAATATGTGTGGCACAAAAATGGCAAATATCTGACAGACTGGATATTAGACGAGTCTGCTACCATATCAGCTTATAACCAGAGTCTCATGTAGTCTTGATCGTGACAAATTTCTTTCACAGAAAGAGCTGTCAACTTATACATATTTAGAAGTTATATGCTAGAATAGGTGTATGTTCTTAGAGAGTACAACCCATCCATACTGTATATCTTGCTTGTTCTCTCTTGTTTCTAATTATTCTAACAAGGGCATCCTTATAATATTTTGAGCACGCGAGACGACAAGAGGAAATGAACAAAGAAGAAGGATCTTCTGAATCCAACAAGTTGTGCACATCAGAGCTTTATGGCAACATAAACATGAATATCAGGCTTGTATCTTTGCGCGTCATCACCTGGCCTCTGGATAGGATTCGAAGTACTTTTTCTTGTAAGGGTACTCGCTTGCTGCCACTTTTTCTGTAAGGGTATTTGTTTTAGCTACTTTGTAATATAAGGGTCTTAAATATTTGTACTTTTTCACATAAGGGTATAACTCCAGCGCAGCCTTACACTTAACTGTAGTTACAGGATCTCGCATGATCAGAGGACTGACGTGTTGTAGATATGATGTGACGACGTGTCTTGGGTGGCACTCGACAGGGTGCACCAAGATTTTTGGTTGTTAGTGCTGAAGTGGAGGGAATGTCGCACCTCGGTAATTTTGCTGTTAGTGCGTATTTCTATATTAGTGCGTTCAGTACCAGGGAAGCATACTTCGCGAAGTACCAAATCAAACCGAACAGGAATTCGCGTTTTGACCCTCGGACCTCACTGTTTCGCGTTTCAGAGTCCATTTCGGGTTTGCTGGTACTGATTACTGTCTTGTAGAAATACGACCTCATTCCCTAGACCCTTCCTGGTCTCGACCTGATTTCCCGTTGGTGCCCCACTCGGTTTTTTCTTTTCTTTCTTTCTTTAATTTCTTTTAACGAATGTAATGGCGGATACGACTCTACCAACACGAATTATACATTCAAGATGACAGGTTTTGTAACTGTGCACATGAATTCTTGGGTGAGTGGCAGCCATAAAAAGCGTAAACCATTAGCAGAAGAAATTGACGACGTGAATCCCCGTCGTGCGCGGGCAGGGGCCAGGTAAAAACCTGTGAAAACTTAAATTCAAGTCGCCGATATTTCGTAGGCGCGACATTCCCTCGCCGAAGTGGGTAGGGGGGAAGAGATGGTTTGACATGTCACGTCCAGGGCTTTCTTTTCGTTTCAGGCTACCTTGTAATTTCAAGGTAGTTTCAGGGCTTTCTTTTCGTTTCAGGACTGTCTCTCTTAGTGGGGGACTTAGCCGAATCCTCTGGGTTGCAGTAGCTTTGTCTCTCCCAGTGGGGGACTTCACCAATTTTTCGGGGTCGCTCGAGGGCTGTGGGAGGAATGCCTTTGGCAGTGGGGGACTTAGCCGAAATCTTGGGTTGCGGGGGGTATAGGAGGAATGACTCTCGGATTGGGGGGGGACTTAGCCGAAATCTACAGGTTGCCAAGGGGATAAATGATTACAGCGGGGGATCGCATGTGTGATTGTGTAAGGGTGATTTTACACAACACTTTTCCGCATCAGGGTGCTAACGCTGCACCACTTTTCAAAATCAGGGTCCGGTACAAATTTAGTTTTTTTCATAAGGGTCCAAAACTAAACCACTTTTGAATATAAGGGTCCAACACCAACCCCAGCCTTATAGTAAGGGCCGTAAGGGTATTTTACCCTGATATCCTGAGGCCTGGTCATCACATGCATGATATATTGCATGCTTAGGTCTTGGGTTGGAAGGTGGCAGGCAAGCAGCCCTTCAAACCCAATGCCCATGTTATTTTAGCCTTCTCTTTTCCATGCAATAGTATGCTCGAAGGGAGTGTATAGGAGAATCATTTTGGGGATTGATATCACAAGGCCAATAATATTTTTCTCGATGCTTGATTGGCCTGGTCTTTGGGATCCTCAGGGCATACCAACAATCTTTTTGGTAGAATGCCATTGTCCGCCAACACCAAGGCAGCCATTCCCATTAGACATCTCACTAGTAGCTGCTACAAACAGCTATGATCGTGGGGCCTTTCCCCCCGGCAGCTTTAGCTGCGTCTCAGGCATTCACGCCGCATGCAGCTAGGGTGGCAATTGCAATCTAAACGCCCTGTTGCAGCTGCAACTACTGCGGGTTTGTCCGAGTAAAAGCTGCAGCAGCGCGATCTCATCGTACGCGGCAACAGCGCTGCCGTCTGTGGCAATCAAGCAGCAGCAGCAGCGGTGGTCTCGATATGCACGGTGGCAGCAGCAGCAGCAGAAATTTTTTACACTCATAGCAGGTGCGGCTGCGAGATAACATCACTAGGTAGCAGCAGAGAAGCGGTGGCGATCTTATCACTGGTTGCAGCAGTAATGGCGATGTTATCATTTTCTCGCTTGTACGTGCAACAGCAGCTTTCTGTGAAACACTCGAGGCAGCAGCAGCTATAGAGCAACAGCAGAGGCGTTCTCACCACGCCCGGGAGCAGCCAGCAGTAATCTCTTCAGCTGCAGCAGCAACAGTTTCGCCCTGAACAGAAGTGGAATCTCGTCACTTGCAGCGGCAGAATTTCGTCAATTGCGGCAGCAGAAACTTGTCACTTGCACCAGCAGAATCTCGTCACTTGCACCAGCAGAGTCTCGTCACTTGCACCAGCAGAATCTCGTCACTTGCACCATCAGAATCTCGTCACTTGCACTACACATGGTGCCCGCCGGAGGCCTAGCTCAATACGTGGCCCAATCAGGAACCATCGCCCATTAGCGTTGTCACACGGGCAACGGCCCACTCAACGTGGGCCGTGAACAGAGCCAGCAGTGCAGCGTCATCATGACAGCGGTGACAAACATGCGGCACAAGACGAAAGATGTGCGCCGCAACCGTTTTCGCCACAAACTTCCAGCCGCGCTCGGAATAGCGCTCCGGCGAAGGTCAGCGAGCCTTTTGTTGAGGTCGCAAAATTACAGACGCCTCGCTGGGTTCGTTTGTGGCTTGAGCGTCGCCGCATGAATCCGAACGCTGACTTGGCAGCGAAATGGAGTCACGATGTCCCGATGCCAGGGGACGTTCTCAACATCCGACAGCCAACCCGGGAACAGACTCGAAAACAAATTCCCACAATCCACGCAGTAGTTATTGTTGCGACACGAACCTTCAGTTCGTAATGTAAGAAATATTTAGAACACGCCCATAATATTTGGAGCTGAAATGCGACTCCAACACCTCACCCCATCACTCTGAGTATAAAAGGGAGCAAACCAAACTAGAAAAAATCACTCAGCATCTCACCCGCCAACCACCACTCTGGTGCTACACCAGAGAAACTCACTCTCGCTTGAAAGCGCCGAAACTTAACATCGGGTAACTAAGTGAACAATGGCTCGCCAAAATATGCCACTCAAACCTACCCCGCAAAACATCAAAATGGTAACCTTCGTGCCCGTGCGAAAGGCCCACATGCCCGTGACGATGCCGTGCGAAACTTGTGCGCGTTTTTGTCTACCGGCACCCTGAAAAGTTGTGTTCCTCTGTCAGGCTCAATGTGTAGCAGAATCCCGACGTGGGAAGCAGCCGAATCTCGCGCTTGCAGCTACGGATTCTCGTCACTTGCGGCAGCGGAACCTCCAGAGAAGAAAAGATCTCGTCACTCGCAGCAGCAATGACAACAGGAGATCGTCCCGCACAACAGCAGCAGTGACAGCAAGGAGCTCGTTGAATTAAAGCCCCCATCTCATAATTACAAAGGTTTAACACTAGAAAGCGAACTGTTGCATCGGGATTGGAGGGCGAGGTACGAACACGAAAGGGTGTGACGAGAAAATTTGGCGACAAAGATTTGTTCGCCAAATCAACCCAAACCTGAACCCGAACCAGGGGAGCACCTCGAACGTGCCCACCAGATCCCAAACCTATCATGCGACAACACTGAACCACGAGCCAATTCCAAAACCACGCCAGCGCCCAACCCCTGCTCTCACCTTACCCATAATACCGCACTTCCCAGTAGAAGCAACCAGCCCCACGGACCGTCAGCAGTCCCACACCACTTGGTGCTGTGACCTGATTAGGTGCAGGGCGGTCAGACTGGCCGTCGCCTGGCACACCACCCCCAGCTCGCCCCACGGGAACCGAGCAACCGCCCTAGACGGCTGTGCTCAAGGCGGACCACGTACTAAGAGGTACGTCGGTAAGGAAACACGCACCACTGCCAGACTCAGTTTCGTGGACGAGGGAATTAGAGCTCCTCAGGTAGACCGCGACAGAAACTCATTACCGCCATTGAAACGCCCCGCCGCCATTGGAATGCGCGCCGGATGCGCGATGCCATTAAAACACGTGCCTGATGCACGAGGTTGCAGCATGGTCATGATACTATCCTCGCCACGAACCCTGCATCCGAACGCCGGGACACCGACTGTGCGGGCGGGATGTGAATGGCCTCTCACGCGACCGCCAATGTTCTATTCTGGTCACGCTGGCCGCGATAAGGGCGCGAGATCCACAAAAAATCCGGCCTGCCGTAGACGTCGACGGACGCACAGAACCGCCGTGATCTATCCCGCGAGCCGCGCCACACCTACCACGTCACGCCTCACTGCCCGCGTCAGAGACGCGAGCAGTTGCAGCGGGTGAGGCAGTCCGACCGTGCGCGCGACAAGGAGAGCTGTCAGGATCTTACGCGCCGGGAAGGTAGGGGAAGGGGAAGGGAGAGGAAGGGCGACATTTTGGAATAGATGGAGCGGGAAGGGGGGGAGCGACGAGCGAGAGGGGCATTGAGGGGAGAGACGGGGAGCGAGGGGAGGGAGAAGGGGAGAATGACGGAAAGAGGGCGGGAGAGGGGCGGATAGGGGGGGCGACAGGGAAATCGGGCGAACGATGGGGACAGGGCGATGGAGAGCGGGAGAGAGTGGGCAGAAGCGGGGGAGAGGGTGAGAAGGGAAGGGATTTAGGGTGGGAGAGACGGAGAAAGGAACGGAGACGAGAGAGGCGGGGAGGAGACGCAGAGAGAGGGAGCAGCAGAAGGTGACAGAGGGATTAGGCGGATGGTGAGAGAGGGAGTAAGCTGATGGTGAGAGAGGGAGTAAGCTGATGGTGCGAGATGGAGAAGGTTTAGGGTGAGAGAGAAGGGAATAGGTTGGTGGTGAGAGAGGGAGCAGGCTGATGGTGATAGAGGGAGAAGGCCGATGGTGAGAGTTGGAGCAGTATTAGGGTGAGAGAGAAGGGAGTAAGTTGGTGGTGAGAGAGGGAGAAGGCTGATGGTGAGAGAGGGAGAAGGCTGATGGTGAGAGAGGCCGATGGTGAGAGATGGAGCAGTATTAGGGTGAGAGAGAAGGGAGTAAGATGGTGGTGAGAGAGGGAGTAGGCCGATGGTGAGAAAGGGAGCAGGCTGATGGTGAGAGAGGGAGCAGGCGGATGGTGAGAGGGAGAAGGCCGATGGTGAGAGATGGAGCAGTATTAGGGTGAGAGAGAAGGGAGTAAGTTGGTGGTGAGAGAGGGAGTAGGCCGATGGTGAGAGAGGGAGTAGGCTGGAGGTGAGAAAGGGAGCAGGCTGATGGTGAGAGAGGGAGCAGGCGGATGGTGAGAGAGGGAGAAGGCCGATGGTGAGAGTTGGAGCAGTATTAGGGTGAGAGAGAAGGGAGTAAGTTGGTGGTGAGAGGGAGTAGGCTGATGGTGAGAGAGAATAGGCTGGTGGTGAGAGAGGGAGCAGGCT